CTTTGTTTTGGAACTAGCAGTTGACATCTGCCTCTAAGCATGGCTTTCTGCCAAGGGCATAGCTCTTCATCATGTCCCTTTTGAGAAGCTAATTAATTTCACCGCAGAGCAGACTGAGGAATTAAAGAGCTTCCCATTGCAGGAGAAAATTTTGAGTGAGGCCAAGGGAAATGTGTTTGCTATTTCTAATTAAATTGGGAATAGGTGAACTTGAAACCCTGCCAAACCTGACATCCTGAGGCTTTGCCAGACTCTGTGAGGGAGGTTAGGGAACAAATTTCCAGACCTTGAGCAACAAAATAAAAACCTATTTGGATCCCTGCCTGCTGCCTTTTCCCTGTATCATTAGAGTTGGCCTCTTGCCTCATTCTGGGGTGTGTGTGTGTGTGTGTGTGTGTGTGTGTGTGTGTGTGTGCATAAAGCAAGAGAGACAGAGAAGAGAGAAACTAAGATAGAAACAGGAAGATTGAGAGAGGCTGGGGGAGAAGGCTATCAAGAGCAGAAATTCAGTGCATGTGGTGTTACAGACGTTAAGGTCTTCCTCGGATCTTCAGGATCCCACTCACATGTCTGCCCTACATGACACCTCTACCTGTCCGTCTGTCATGGAAGATGGTGGTAACCATAGGCTGGGCCCTGGAGTGTCAGACACCGAGGAGGAGGAGGAAGAACAGGGAAGGTTACGTCTATAAGAAATAGTCAGCAGTCAGTGGTTCTGAGTTTCCAGGAGGCTGATACAGAATGAGCACAGAAGAAACCCACACAGCCCCAGGGACAGATGACCCAAGAAGACCAGAACCAGGACCAAGACTGTCAGACGCTAGGACAAGGACTATGCACTGCCAGCTGGCAGTCTGCAGGTGTGTGATCATCAAGAGGGGGACAAGAATTCACAGTGAGCTTGACCACTTGCTCCCTGTCTCCAAAGCTTGACCAACAAATGTACGTGAAGACTCCAAGTCCCAAGACTCAGCCACAGTGTAAGGAACTCCGAGAGCAAATAAAAAAATAATGGCACCCACCTGGCTTCTGCTCTTTAGCATGAGAAGCTTTAGTCTCTGCGATTGGGGTGAGGACTAGAGGGGTGACAAGAGGGAGGAGAGGAGGTTGAATGCGCTGAAATTCAAGACCCCGAATTTAAAACTCTCTTGTACTCCCTTCAGACCTAAAGGGTTTCAGTTGTCTCAAGCCTCTGGCCTTCACCTTGGGCTTCTGGGGGACTCCAGGATGAGCTGGGAGTCTGCCTCCCTATGTGGTATTGTCACAGATACTGACAACAGCTTGACATCTAAGCAGACCACAGTGAGGCAGACACTGCAAGGCATCTGTTGATTCACCTTCTGTCTCCTGACCTCCCAGGCCAATGGCCCACCAAGCAGCTTCCTTTCCCCTACCAGTAAGTCTTCTCTGAGTCTGAGGACAACGCATCACTTCATCATTTCCTGATCCCCTACTGTATGCCAGGCCCCCACATAAGTTTCTGAGGATACAGAGAATTCCTTTTATAGAAATATGTGTTACAGCCTCACAGGAAGTGCTATCACGGAGAGATGAACACAGGGTACCTCAACACTGGCGACCCTAGAAGAGGCAACCTTGGAATGGGGTCTTCAGTAATAAGTAGGGCTATTGGGTGTGCAAGGGGAAATGACATGCTAGACAGAAGGAACAAAGCAAGGATACAGGGGGTAACTCTAGGAAGTACCTGTGGTTTGTGTGCCCAGAGTGCAGGTATACAGGGATAGCGGGGGCAAAAACATGCCAGAGAGGGAGGGGGTGGTAGGAGGCTGCCAAGATATCTGGGCTTTGACCCAGTCCTGACAGAAAGGTAGGGAAGATTCTAAACAGGAGAGCAGCATAGGTAGAGTTGTGCTTTAGAAAGACCACTGAGACTCAGAGGTAAAGGTGGGCTGGAGCGGTGCTAAACAGTGGAGCTGGGGCCAGGTAAGAGGCTCTTAGAACAGGCCAGGTAAGAAATGAGCAGCATGCGGCAGCGGCATGGCACATCTGGGAAAGCAGCAGCAATGACGAGGTTTGGTCACCATCTGGACCCAGGGTTGGGAGAGAAAGAAGAATCTAGACAGACTCCTAGCCTCCTGGCTTAGATCTCTGGGTGGAGGGGATGGGGAGAGGTAACCAAGACAGCAGAATTTGGGCAGAGGCTGAGTTTGAAGTACAGGATGCCCCAGTAGAAACAGGTAGATGGGAATACCAGACAGGAAAAAGGCCTGGGTGGGAGACATGCTTGTGCAGCCATTGACACGCAACAGAGAGCTGAAGCTGTTGGTAGGACGAGGGCATGTGATAGAAGTGGGACAGAGACGAATGGAGCATCAATGCCCCAGAGAGCACCAGCTCTACCCCGTGGGTTACAGAGGGCCATGTGGAACTGGAGAAAGCTTGATACTCTACTTCACCTGTTCTTCAGAAAGGAACTAAAGCTTGGTTCCCTGGTATTTTCCAAGGCAGGGGCAGCACAGGAAGGGTGCTGTGAGCAGCCGCAGTTCACTCCTTTGAAACAGCTCTACCTAGTTCTGTCCTTTATCATCTGGGGATTAGCGAAGACCTAGCCTAGGGAACCAATGGCCCAAAAGGCTGAGGAAGGACTAGAATCTGCCTCAGGCCAGTTCACTGTGGAGAGAACTAAGGTCATCCAGTAGCCATGCCAAGAGAGTCATGTGGATATGGAAAAGCAGAGGTCTCCTGGGCCAGAACAATGAACTGGCCAGTAAGGCGAGCTCTTGATCCCTTTGTTCCAAAGAACAGGACTGCCAGCCTCCTCCTCCAGGCTCTTGGGCTAGGAACCAATGTGTGCTGGCTGGAAATGTTCAAAGTAATGGGGAGGGGCTGACAGGGTCCCCAGCGAGCACTGGGCACTGAGCAACCTTCTGTGGCACCTTTTCCAGGGTGCAGAGGAAAGAAAACAGTAGAAGCCATCTGCCTCCATCTTACCTTCCCAGGGGCCTGGAAACCTGAGGATGTGCACAGTCAGGGAGCCAATGACAGTCAGCCCTACCTCCTCACCTCAACCTGCTCAGAAACCCAAATAGCCCCTGAGAGCAGAGAAGCCAGAATCACACAGGATCAGCCAGGTAGACAGCAGGCTGGAGATTTTTTCCATTTTATTTGAAAACCCCAGGGTGTGTCCCCTCCCTTACCACACCCATACCCTACCCTCACCCCAGGACATGACAATGCCACACACACACACACACACACACACACACACACACACACACACTGTTATATATAAGTATATTGTGGAAAACCTTCACTTAAATGTATGTTTCCACATTTCCTAGGTAACATTACCCATCTTATCAAGCTATCTGAGAATCATCATATAATAGCACTCTCTTCTGGATGTGAAGCTCACCGTAGGTATTCGTGTCTACAGAGCCCAATTCACTATTTAGGGATGAACACTCAGGCACATTTCACACCATAACTCTAGCTCCGCACACACACACACACACACACACACACGGCTGTGAGCTGCACACAGGAACCCAGGAGCTGTGCTCACGACAACATTGAAAAAATATACATTATATATAATACACCAGGGCCCCCCCACTCCCTCTCCTTCCCCACAACCTAGGTACAAGCAGGCTGTGGAGGAAAGGGCAGGAGTTGCAGGACCTCAGGACTGCACTGGCAATAGAGCAAAGAGGACAGGAGAGGAAGGAGACTGGCTGCACACAGGAACCCAGGAGCTGTGCTCACGACAACATTGAAAAAATATACATTATATATAATACACCAGGGCCCCCCCACTCCCTCTCCTTCCCCACAACCTAGGTACAAGCAGGCTGTGGAGGAAAGGGCAGGAGTTGCAGGACCTCAGGACTGCACTGGCAATAGAGCAAAGAGGACAGGAGAGGAAGGAGACTGGGAAGGGGGAGGAGCAGGGGTCCCCAGAGTAAAATGGAAATAGAGGTGAGGGGTTCCTAAGGGAAGCAGGGAGGCCCAGTCAAGGAGGCCCAATGGAAGGAAGGCCCCATGGACAAGACAGCGTAGAGAAGAGCAGAGGAAAGGGCGCCTCTCAATCCCATTCCCATCTCAACCATGGCTGTTGATAACCACCTCCCCAATACAGTGCATGGCTGACAGAATGTGCTGCCACAGGTGGGCTACAGGGCAGTCAAAGTGATCCAGTCACCTCCCCAGTGCAGCCAGCTGGGGCAGGTGCCTTGGGAGCATGCCAGGGGAAGGGCAGCCCAAGGCAAGGGCAGGCTCAAGGAGGGGTAGGGTGGCCCAATGGGGGCTGCTGGGGTTTTGAGATTGAAGGAGCACTCTGTCTGAAGGACTCTCGCCCCCTTGGTCTCTCTTCTCTCAGAATGTCTTTCTTTCTTGGGTGCCTGTCTCCTCAGGGCAGACCTCTGTCAAGGCAGGGCCATAACCTCAGTAGCGGTGTGGAGGGCTCTCAATGATGCGTCTCTCATCACTGCTGGGGGAGTCGGCTGCCTCTGAGTCACTGCTGTCCTCATCCTCCTGCTGGCCACCAGCAACCCCCGCCACACAGGCCTGCCGGTTCTGATAGGACTGAAGAAAGGAAGCAGAGAGGACAAGAGATCAGCAACTTCCCACAACCCAGAGCTTCTCCTTCAGGACACACATACACACACACACACACACACACACACACACACACAGAGTCCCTTTGCCTCTCCTCACCTCCTCCCCATCTCATCCTTTCTCCTCCATGTTCTCCACAGTCCTACCAAGATCTTTCATCTGGGGCCTCATCAGGGGTCTTTGCTGTGGATGTGCCCCCTCATTCCACTCACCTCCATGGGGTTCACGATAATGGTGAGAGCAGAGTCATCCCAGAAGAGGTCCGGGTCTTTGGGGTCAGTGGACACCCCTGGGGACCCACCAGTCCCCGAGACACGGCGGTGAAGGGAGTGGATGCGCACAAGGCCCAGGATGACCATCAGCACCAGGAAGCCCACACACACTACGATGATGAGTGTTGCAGCACTGGGGACCACTGCAGGAAGAGCCGGGAGGTCAGCAGAATGTGGCACACCCAGGGGACTTAGACACAGGGTGGCACACCTGGGGGACTTGGACATGGGGGTGGTAGGGATGCTGGGGAAGAGACTGCTGAATGAAGTCCTAGGGTAAGAGAAGGAAACATTCACTGTGGGCCTGAGGAACTAGATCATCGAGAGGCCAAAGAAGCAGAGCCCGCCAGGGAGAGGAGTGAAGAGGAAGGAGAGGGAGGGAAGTGGCTGCGAGGCCCAAAGGGACACAGGAAGGCAGATGTGCTAAGGGAGGCAGGTGGTGTGGAGAAGGCCCCCGGCTCAGCGCTGCCCTGAACAAGCCTATCATCATTGGATTGGCAGCAAGGACTTAAGCTGCCTGCATCTTCCTGCATGGGCACGAAGGGTTCCTCAGGGACCACTCAGTCTAGACAAAGATACCCCATTCATAGGAGGAGAAGCAGCTCTAAGCCTGGCCTGATGTCCAGAGAAGGTGCTGCCCGCAAGGCTGAAGACAAGTTCAAGGGGAAAGGAGTGGCCCCTTCACCTACCCACCTGGACTGAGTGCACCTCTGCTCCGTGATACCTCCCTTCTTCTTGTAGGCTGGAGGCTTCTGGATGTGTGGAGCCTCTGCTCCTTCCCAATCTCCCTGCTAGGTGCCCCTGCCCCCTCCTCAGTCCCTTCAGGCCTCCTGCCCTGCAGTCTCACTTTGACACCCAGATTCAGGGGTGCATGGACCCTAACAGGCAGTGAGAAATGGAAGGGCACATGTACTCTCACATGGACCTTGGAGCTGATGGCAGCAAAGCAGATGTGCATGCACAGGCACATGCCCAGGAAGAGAGAGTGGGCACATGGCTGGACAAATGTTTTCATGCCCCACACCTGAGCCAGGCCTCTGCTAGCCCACACACCTGCCTGCACCAGCCACCTGGCAGATGACTCACACAGAGGGATTAACGGAATGTGTGTTAGAGTCTCTAGCAAGACACAGAAGAGCTGTGTGAACACGGTCACCCCGCTCCCCACCAGCTGTGCAGCCCAGGCAACCCCCTGAAGAAAGACATAAATACTACAGACTTGGGCCCTAAAGCCCACAGGGCAAGCGGCTGTGAACGCAACCCTGGCCCCCTTCTGCACCCACACATACATCATTCGGAGAAGCATGAGGAGGCAAAGCAAGGGAGCCCAAAGCCCCTGAGACAGCAAGTGAAGGAAGAGACCCCACAAATGCACCTCTAAAACCAGAGCCCTCTTGGGCAGCTGGGTCACCACACGCCACATGGGTTCACACCCTGCACAGCAGCTCAACCCCAGGCAGTCCTGTTGTTGAGAATTAGTCTATGTTGTATGTGTCTTAGACACAGAGACGAGCAATCACACAAGCAAGCTGGAGCGCAAAGACCACATTCCAGGCCAGGCCCAAGTTTATCTACATCCTAAAACGCACACATCAAGACAGAGCAGACCATAGAGGAGATGGCATGAAAGTCCCATACACTCCCTGCTGCAGCCCCTTCCTGCCGACAGCCAGCACACTCACACTGCCACCTGCTCCAGGACCAACCAGGTAAGGAAGACTGCCTGCCTGGGCAAGCATGGCAGCCACACACCTCCCTGAGGCCGCCCTGATGGCTGTCTACCAAACTGCTTCCCATCCTGACCTGACCAATAGCCTACTTAGGACCACTTGCCAAACAGAGCTAACTTTGCGGGGGCAGGGCAGGCAGGCTCCCTGGGCATTGACTCCAAGGCAAAGATGGGCCTGGTTGGATCAACATTTCTCAACTGCCTGGGTGTGGAGGAGAAGGGGAAAGGGGACAAGGCTGCCCTTTCTGTCCATCTGCCCAACAGAGCCCCTCTCAGGTCCCCAACCCAGTCGTCAAAGGACAAGTCTGAGGGGTGATGACTGCTAACAGATGGCCCCCTGTGGCTAAGCCCAGGCTCCAGAAGGAGGGCAACACCACCCACAGAGTGCAAGGCACAGCATTATGGACACCACAATAAGCCAAAATCAAACTCATTTGTCCCCTTGAGCCCCTGGCATGGTGAAGGAAATGGCACATTGATTACCAGGAACAAACTGACCACAAAAAAGACAAAACACAAACACTCCAGTTTTAGGCTAACAAGTCTGATTCATTAAAATGAGCCAGGAGGTTGGGAGGATTCTTAAATTAGCTACAAACAAAAATCAAGAATTTAAAAAGCCCAATCAATCTTTCTTGCTTCATTAGATCTGAGAAGTAAATCCTGACCTTGAATGACCTCTATAACCAACATTAATGTCTTAGCAAATGGCTCATGTGATCATAGGGACACTTGAGAGCTCTGTCCACTGCCCCACGTGGTGCTCTCTTGATGAAGAAAGTGCCTCGGGAGAAACACCCTTCTCTCAGTCCAAGGACTTCTCTTGGAACACCAGCTCGCTCCTACCCTGTGGCTTCCATGACTGCTCTGGTTTCCTTCTGCTTTAGATTCTAGCTCAGAGTGAAAAAATCTGGCACAGTCCTGCACTGTGAAGTACCTCGCAGTATACTTTATGAATTGAGTCATTCCCTGGCTTCACGGCAATTCCCCTTCCATCCTATCCTTTCCTCCTTACTTCCTAATTAGTTTTCTTTTTTTATTGTTCATTAAGTATTTTGGTTTGGGTTAGTTTATTTTATTTTGGTTTGTGAAATGCCATCTTGCTATATTGCCCAGGCTGGTCTCAAACTCCTGGGCTCTGGTCATCCTCCTGCCTCGGCCTCCTAAGTAGCCAGGAATGTAAGTACACACCACTGTAGCAGGCTCGTTTTCCTTTCTTTCTCTCTTTATTTCTTTTTTAACCATGAGAGAATTACCCATCTTTTAAAAAGAGATTTCTTTTCTGAGGACCTCAGACTGAAGAAAGGACTAAATCCCAAATCCCAGCGCTTGGGAGGCAGAGGTAGGAGGAACTGTGTGAGTTCGAGGCCAGCCTGGTCTACATAGTTGAGTTCTAGGCCAGCTGGGGCTACAGGAAGACCCTGTCTCAAAAGAAAAAAAATAAAACAAAAAAAACTGAGATTCTCAACAGGCCCACTGCACCCAGGTCGGTGACAGCAGAACCCAGTATCCAGCTCCTTCAAAAGAGTGGGATGATTCCATGACCGTGAACTTCCTCTAAGAAAGTGTTCGTGGAGCTCCTTAGGGAATTGGCTTCAGAGCCTCTGACCTGCTGCTTTTCAAATGTGATATATCTATAGCCTTGGAGGGCAGGATTAATGTTGAAAACCTTAAAATGATATCCAGGGCCAACTCTGACAGAAGTGGATGATGCAGTTGGGTAGAACCGGGCCAAAAGCAAGGTGTGTCTCAAAAATGACAAAAATAAATGTACCTCAGAAACCGGCTTTGAAAACGACCCTCAAAAGTCATGCTCGGCAATGTTACCATTCAGTTTTAATCTGAAGCATAAGCATCAGGTTATAAAATGGTTTAGTCTCAACATCGTAAAATGTAAATAAAAATAAATAAATAAATAAATGTATGTATGAAACAAGACTAGAACATAACATGCCATGTCAGCAGGATCGCCTCAATCTGTCAGAGGAAGCAAGGCTGATTTTTCCTGTTTGTACATGTTTTCTACATTTTAACAATGAAGCAACTCTCAATATTAGAAAACAAATATTGCACCACTGTAAAGGACCACATCCCAGGAACAAGACTGCCCCATCTGGAGGCAACACTTGGCATGTGTTGTTTTAGAAATATTCTTATGATTCTAAAAAAATAAAATAAAAGTAAAATTTATTATGTTTAAAAAATTTTTTAAATACATCTGTCTAACTGATCAATTTGTGTACCTAGCCCCACATTGATAGGTTCTGTTTCAGCAGCTGTCCGTATTTCTGAGAAATAGATCAATTCCAGTTGTAAACACCCCATGTTTCCATCAGGAGTCACTTAGAAGTTACCAACTTGTCTACGGAGGCTCCACGGTCTTTCTCTTGTCTTCTCACTTTTTTTTTTTTATGTTGGTGTTTGTTTGGTTTTTGAGTTAGCATCTTACTTTTTAGTCCAGGCTGGCCTCAAACTTACAGCAATCCTCCTGCCTCAGTCTCTTAAGGCCTGGGATTATAGGCATAAACCACCACCCCCAGCTGACCTCCTTCTAACTTTTAAGTGACAATCCTTGATCATAAATTTCTTTCCTACCTGAGTTCTGGCTTTACAGATGACTGGTACTTTTAAATTGTGAGAATGGTTTACCTTTCTGGCTAAGCAGTCTCTCAAAAATCATTTTATTAAGGAAAAAATAGAAATATTCTTATAATTTTACAGAGAACATATAATTACATATATAATAGCACCAACTCTTTCCTCAAGGAGTATTATTTTATTACAATTTTATTTTATTTACTTATTTAGTTATTTATTGAGAGAGAGAGCACATCCATGCATGTGCCATGGTACATCTTATGAACCAATATAGGTTCCAGAGATCAAACTCAGGCCATTAGACTTGACAGCAAGTACCTTTATCCACTGAGCCATCTCATTGCCCCTCTTTGTTTTCTGTTTGTTAGTTGTTCTGTTTTGTTTTGGAGACAGGTCTCACTATGCAGCCCAAACCCCTTGAGATCCTCCTGCCTCAGCTTCTTGGGTGCTGGGATCACAGGCACGCATCACCACACTCACCCAGCCCTTAAAATGCTTTTATATCCCAAATAGCATCTTCAGGTAGTGCTGATACTCCATAGGTGCTAGATAAATGTTTGATAGCTTCATTAGAGAAGGTCTCTAGACCCCAGCTAACTTTATTTTTTGTGCAGGGAGGGCAGACAGTAGGAATAACAAGGTGCCTATACCCAACACTGCCTTATGGCTCCAGGCATAAGCAGTCTGCATTGGCTCATCTTCCCAAGAGAGTCAGCAGTTCAGAGGGATGAAGACTTTAGTCCTTAGCTGTCATTAAGGCAGGTATCACAGAGAACAGAATCCACTGCACCACCCCTCTCCTTCCCAAGGGCATAGGGGTGGATGCCACCCACTCCTCCTCCTTAGCCCCACTCAGCTTACTTACTGGAGTTCCGGTGGGAGCTGGCCAGGCTGTGCCCAGCCATCTCAGGAGGAGGCTGGTGACCCCGGTGCAGGAACTGTTGGGAGCTGAGCACATGGCTGGGGTGGGCCACTCGGTTCATGCTGTGCAGGACGTTGACCTGGAGAAATGCAAGGCTCTGTAGGAACAACTGATTCTGCCAGGTTCCGCCCCACCCCTTCAAGCCCAACTCCCTCACCTTCCCCATTTCCCTCCTCCTTTCTCTCTATTTATTAGGGGGGTGGCTCATGCCACACAGTGTGTGTGGAGGACAGAGGAAAACTCACAGCAGTCAGCTCTCTCTTTCCACCATACAGGTTCTGGGGATCAAACTCAGGTCATCAGGCTTGGCAACAAGCACCTTTACGCCCTGAGCCATCTCACCAGTCCCCTGCCCCATCTCTTAATTACTACCCCACATCTCCCACACACACACATCTGCTATGGGTCTAGGAGCCTTCAGTGCAACAATGTCCCTGCCCATCAACAATCTACTCAAGTCCAGTACATCAGTAGGGGACTGGGAAAGGAGACTCTCTGGATACCTCCACGATAAATTCATTACTGGAGTAACGACCATTCATTTCTGAGCAGGAAAGCCGGAATTTCCTGGCATAGAGGGCAGCTCCATGCCGAAGCCGATAATGAGCCTGCCTCAGGATCTCTTCATACACAGTGATGCTCTCCACCCCTAGGAAATAAGGAAGCAGTTCAGCGGCTGAGCCAGTGAAGGCAGGCCCAGGGCAGCACTCTCTCCCAGACTCCCACCATTTGACAAAGCAGTGGAAGGGGTGTTTAGCCCATTCCTCACCAGGGATGTGACCTGCCCTCTCAGAGAAAGAAATGCTCCCGACTCCCTAACCCACTCTGATGGACTAGGGTAGAGCAACCAAAGTCCTGGTTGCTCCTCTACCCTTCTCTCTTAGTCTCGTGGCTCTCCCCAGGGATGAGAGAACATAGATTTTTTTTTTTTTATGGAAAGGAAGGCGCAAAGACATCCTTCAAAGGAAGGACGGTGACAGACAGAAGGGACCCAGCCTCAGTGAAGCCTGGGAAGGAATGAAAACAGAAAGGGACTGACTGGTTATAGCCATCTTCTCCCTTCTCTTTCCTGGAGGGATGGTGACAGACAGAGGGACCCAGCCTCAGTGAAGCCTGGGAAGGAATGAAAACGGAAAGGGACTGACTGGTTATAGCCATCTTCTCCCTTCTCTTTCCTGGAGGGACCTTCAAGAATTGCAGACTGCCTTTGGAAACCACCAGATTATCACTCCCCATCA